AAAAACACGTCATTTAGCTATAAAAAAAAAAAAAAAAAAAATCGCGGGCGTTTTGCCTTTAACGGCGTTATTTTTTTTTTTTTTTTGATTATGAATATACAATTATGCCGTTATAAATGTATAGTTATGCCGTAATGAATGTACAGTTATGCAATTATGAAATTATGAAATTATGAACACATAGCTCTAACATTATGAACTTACAATTATGAACATATAGTGATAAAATTATGACCATGGAGCTTTAAAATTGTGAATATAGAGCTTCGAAGATTATGAATGTACAGTTATGGAGTTATGAATGTACAGTTATAGAGTTATGAATCTACAGTTATGGAGTTATGAATCTACAGTTATGAGATTATGAATCTACAATTATGGAATTATGAATGTACAGTTATTGGTCAAATTATGAACAAAGAGCTCTAACATTATGAACATATAGTGATAAAATTATGAACATAGAGCTCTAAAATTGTGAACATAGAGCTTCGAAAATTATGAATGTACAATTATGGAGTTATGAATGTACAGTTATGGAGTTATGAATGTACAGTTATTAACATATAATAATAAAATTATGAACATATACTCCTATAACGAAATGGTCTGAAATTTAAAAAAAAAAAAAAAAAAAAAAAAAAAAAAAAGAAAAAAAAGATAACAGTGCCTAAGTACCTAACGGCACTGTTACCCGTGTCCAGCATCAGCATGCATGCTGGACACGAGTCCAACACATAGCGATTGGTTATTAACAATAATCAAACTTATTATCTTTATAGCTATTGTCATTATGTCTTATGGTTTAGGAGATGTAACATACAAATGTTCTTTTCTGTTTTTTTTTTTCTCCAAAATGTATGTGAGAATAAGAAGTGATTGATAATTTAAGGCAAATTATTCTGTAAACTCAAGTCTAAAAATACACAATTTACATATTGAATGTTCACAATTTACATAATAAATGTTCATAATTTGAAATACTAAATATTCATAATTTACATATTCAAATTGTAAATATTCAATATGTAAATTGTGTTTTTAAATATGAATATACCTTGCAAGGTGGACCAAGGACCATGGTATAACTGTTGATAATTTAAGATTTTAACTTTCTTACAAAATTCAGCCGGCTAACATTAATTTAAGACTTATGAATGAATTAAACAAATATATAAACTTGTGACATTTATATTTTTTTTTAGTATTACAGACTCTATTGTAATGCAGTATCTGTTCATAACTATTTTCTCAATATACTAAAGCACAAAGAGTCAATACCAAATTGTGTACCAAATTTGAAACTTTTGTATAAATTTTATCTAATTTTATTTACTATCCATAAAGCATTGTGTTAGGTTTTTAGGTTGTTGGTTAATAAAATTCTTTAAAAAAAAAAAACAAAACAAAACAAAACAAAACAAACAAACAAATTTTAGTATGAAATTATTAAATTCAAAATTTTTAATAAAATTTTCAAAATATATAAATGATTGGATTTCTTAAAAGTTTTAATTCCATATATAGAATCTGATATTCATTGGTCCTTTACATACAAATGAGTTCACGGCTTACGTTTAAGGAAATAATAAGATTTTTTTTTTTTTTTTTAATGTTGGATGAATATTGTATTTGTGTTTTTGTCTTAATATAATTATACATTCATGCTCAATGCCGTCCAGTACCATATCTCACCAGAAACATAGTAATAATAATAATAGATTAAAAAAACATTAAATAAGAATAAAGTAAAGAGAAAAACAAGAAATACGGAGAAAATCATCAATATTTTATTATCCATTCTTCATCCTTCAAACCAATATATATACATAATATGTCCCGGTGCTTAGCGTAATTGGTTCGTCATAGGACTTAAAGGTCATAATTGATGCTTCCACTACAGGTGTTTGATCCTGTGATCATTGATTTAGAATGCTAAAAGATGTGTCACTAATTGGCAATGTTCACATATATTTATTTATAACAACATCCAAATTATTAAATAAAAGTAAAAAAGTAAAAAAAAATAAATAAAAACCTTGGCTATTGTGATTGATGTACTACTCACACGATTGCTTCCAAAACTTACACTTCACATATGATTATGATTTATGAAGTAAAAAGAATGAATAAGGGTTAAATAGGCCATCGAACTGCACAAGATAATGCAATTAGGCCACTGAACCTAAAAAATCAACAATCAGGTCCTTAAACTAACTAATTTCAAACAAATCTTCCAATTTATAGGTTTCCAACAGATTAACAGGTCATCCTCTCAAATTAATTATTTTTAAAAAATAAAATTTAAAAATTAATTATTTAATTTAAAAAAAAAAAAAAAAAAACAGAAACGGCCGGAGACGAAGATTTCTTCGTCTCCGGCCATGGAGACAAAGAGTTTCTTCTTCTCCATGGCTGGAGACGAAGAAACTCTTCGCCGAAGATGAAGAAACTCTTCGTCTCCATGGCCGGAGACGAAGAGTTTCTTCGTCTCCGGCTGTGGAGACGAAGAGTTTCTTCGTCTCCAGCCATGGGGAAGAAGAAACCTTCTTCGTCCCCATGGCCGGAGACGAAGAGGCGTCTCCGGCCGTGGAGATGAAGAAACAGGCCGGAGACGAAGAAGTTTCGTCTCCGGCCGTTTCTGTTTTTATTTATTTATTTATTTATTATTATTATTATTATTTTAATTTTAATAATTAATTTAAAATTTTATTTTTAAAAAAATAATTAATTTAGTTGTTGACCTGTTAGAGACCTTCAAATTGGATGAATTGTTAGGAATTTGTTAGTTTAGGGACTCAATTGTTGATTTTTTGGGTTCAGTGGCCTAATTGTATTATCATGTGCAATTCGGTGACCTATTTGACCCTTATTCCTAAAAAGAATTATGTGACGGGGATATAGGACTTTCGAGTTCGACCCAGTTTGTTGGGCTGGGGATGGTAAAAGTCAAAGATTGGTATTGGGCTTTGGCAGACGTTATGCCATGGAACCGTGTTCACCATTCATGGTGAACACGGTTCTAACGGTGTTAGTACACCGTTATCTTTTTTTTTTTTTTTAATTAATTGCGTGACTTTTCTTCTTTATTTTCACATTTTGCGGTTTCACTTTAATTTGAGGTGAACAAAGATTTCGGACATTCATAAATTATGAATTCATGCCTGCACATTCACTTTGGAACCATGCCTACACAATCCCGTCCGAAATGACGGACATTCATAAATTATGAATCCATGCCTGCACATTCACTTTGGAACCATGCCTACACATTCACTTTGGAACCATGATATTATGAATTTTCTGTTATAAGATTATGAATTTTCTGTTATGAGATTATGAATTTTCAGTTATGAGATTATGAATTTTCAGTTATGAGATTATGAATTTTCTGTTATGCGATTATGAATTTTCTGTTATGAGATTATGAATTTTCATTACATTCATAATTTCGGACATTCATAAATTATGAATTCATGCCTGCACATTCACTTTGGAACCATGCCTACATATTCCCGTCCGAAATCACGGACATTCATAAATTATGAATCCATGCCTGCACATTCACTTTGGAACCATGCCTACACATTCACTTTGGAACCATGAGATTATGAATTTTCTGTTATAAGATTATGAATTTTCTGTTATGAGATTATGAATTTTCAGTTGTGAGATTATGAATTTTCTGTTATGCGATTATGAATTTTCTGTTATAAGATTATGAATTTTCATAAAATTCATAATCTCATAACAGAAAATTCATAATTTGATCAAACGCGCGCCGTTAACTCCACATCCGCGAAATTTATTATTATTTTTTTTGCCTAAAAACGACGTCGTTTTGCCTTGTGTTCACCATTCTCGGTGAACACGATTCCATGGCATAATTTGCGGGGCTTTGGATATGGAGTTATCCACAGATTAAATTTGGACCATGATCCATTTTAAATTGTGAATTTTGATCCAAAATAACGTTCAAATCATATATCTCCAACTAACATATTATGTATTTTCTTAAAAAACACATTATGTATTTTTAATTATTAGATCATATACCTAAATTAATACAGTAGGTACATAATTTATTAACTTTAAATATATAATATGTTAATTATAATAAATATATAATTTATTAAATAAAAATAATACCAGAGTAATAAATTAACAGTTTGTACATAATTTGTCCTTTTTGGATCAGATACACAATATAAGGTACATAAGAATTGGGACTTATCTGCTTAATCCTCTGATCAATCATGGCTTCCAGCAATAGAACCCACATAAAACCTTGAAGACATATTTGTTGAGTGTGAGGCATGTTTTCACCTGTTATGTTTTATCCTATGATTTGAATTAATTAGAGTTATGTTTTCACGCAAAAAAAAAAAAAAAAAAAAAAAAAAAAAAATCAACAAGAAGGCTAACTATGAGACTGCTTAGGCAACACGCAATTGAGCTAAAACAATTGAGAGTTATCACGTGAGTGGGGAGATGGGTTGGTTGGTATAATACTAATCATAGGATGCTCTGCTAGCTCTGACACTATTCCTCCAATGGCAATACTGACAACTGGACTCCATTACCCTCTCAAGTGGACCCCATATTCTACTCACTCCCTGTCCCCACACATTACAGCCTGTCATCTTCTCCAAATTAACCATCTTTCCCTCCAGGTTCCAGCTTTGATATCATGGCAATACATAAACCAAAAGACAAAAGTCGTCCGCTCTATACACAAAACACAAAATATGATTGCGATTTACCAAGTTAACGTTGCCGTCAAGTTGTTTTAACAGATAGCTTCCCGCTTACAGGTTCCAGCTGTAACCCCAAGGTTTAATGATTCCTGTTTTCTAGTACCACTTCCTACTTTATTACCTACTTTACCTTAAAGAACACCGCGTTGCGTCTTTGAATCAATACGCACTAGCTTAGGGCAGTCTTGACCTATCAACAAGAAACGTCGGTTTCATTTCATGGCAGCTTCGACCGCCTCCATAACCAGTAGGCTCGATCACACACTAATATAAACCCAGCCTTTACTCTATATATATACCACTTCTTGCTTATATCCCTGCATTGCCAATTTCACTTTGAAATTCCCAGGAATAATAATGGCTTCAGCTTCTTTTGTCCAGTTCATTCTTCAACTCTTGCTAGTCATCTCTTTGTTTAATGTGTGTTTTGCTTCGAGAAAGCTTAATGCTTTATATGAAAACCAGCCTAACCAGCTTATGCAATACCACAAGGGCTCACTGCTTTCCGGCAAGATTTCTGTCAACTTGATCTGGTACGGCAAATTCAAGCCATCCCAAAGAGCCATCATCTCCGATTTCATTACCTCTCTTTCCGGTTCCGAGAAAAGCCGGCCTTCTGTGAATACTTGGTGGAAGACGACGGAGAAGTACTACTCCCTTGCTAATTCCAAGAACCCTCTTTCGCTCTACTTAAACAAGCAAGTCCTGGACGAGAGCTACTCGTTAGGGAAATCGTTGACTCAGGAACAACTCGTCAGCCTTGCCTCCAACGGCGAGCTCAAGGACGCTATCAATGTAGTGTTGACAGCCGCCGATGTCTCCGTCCCCGGGTTCTGCGTTAACCGCTGCGGAACCCACGGTTCTTACGGTTCCAAAGCTGCCCGCGTCAAGGGGAAGAACAACAAGTTTGCCTACATTTGGGTCGGCAACTCGGAAACTCAGTGCCCAGGATACTGTGCCTGGCCGTTCCACCAGCCCGTTTACGGCCCGCAGAGCCCACCCCTGGTTGCGCCTAACAACGACGTGGGTTTGGACGGAATGGTGATTAACTTGGCCAGCCTGCTCGCCGGAACCGCTACAAACCCATTTGGAAACGGGTACTACCAGGGAGAGGCCGGCGCGCCGCTTGAGGCCGCCTCCGCATGTCCAGGAGTTTATGGAAAAGGAGCTTATCCGGGTTACGCCGGTGACCTGTTGACCGACCCGACAACTGGTGCAAGCTACAATGCACATGGTACAAATGGGAGGAAATACTTGCTTCCTGCTTTGTATGATCCTTCCACTTCATCATGTTCCACTTTGGTATGAGAGTATGTAGAATCGATCTGCTAATACTTGTAGAGTAGACTAGTAGAGTGATTAATATATAATATATTCTTTTGTTTTCTTGTTTGACATTAAATAATAATCTACAATACAATATCTCCCTTGCAAATTGAATCGTTTAAATTAAAGTCGTTCGCATAGACTTAACAATTAACATACACCTCAGCTAAACATATTGAGCAGAAATATCAAGAACTGCATGCAGACAGACCATTGGCTAGCCGTTATTAGAAGCCAAATTTGTCTTATTAGAGCATCCACATTAGTTAGGAAGAATATGGGGATAATGTAAGAGTGATTAGGAGAGAGAATGTGGGGAAGGGAGAAAAAAAAAATAAAAAAACTAAAATTAAAAAACAAATGAAAAAAAAATATATAAAAAAGAACCTGTCAGGCGCGTGCTTGGCACGCGCCCGTGTGGGCGAGCTGCTGTGCGCGAAACGCGCACAGCAGCTCATCTTTTCTTTTCTTTCTCTTTCTTCTTTTTCTGCATTCTCCCCAATTTTGCAGGATAAATATCTCCATAATTATCCCCACCCCACATTTGTTATTATCCCCATTGAGAAGAATTAATACTGAAATCTTCCCCTAATATGCACAAATTAACAAGCATTACTCAAGAGTTTGCAGTGAAAAAATCACTAATCATAACCGGTTAAAGACCATAAATAAATAAGTTGCTTATTGTCAGCTCTCAAATGATGAAAACTAATATATTACTTTTGTGTAATTACTTATCATGTATGTCCTTTTATTCTTTGAAAGCAAGTGCGATGAAGTGAGCTGGCATCATGCCTCAGCCTGGGCATTTTAAATACGGGGCATAAATGCGTAATTCACTTCCAGGAATAAAGGGAAGCTCTGCATACTTTCTCGTGGGGTCATTTCGCCATTACGTGCCCTTTTCTTCAATTCTTTCCAGGTAGCAGATCAGAGGATAACGTAGCCACTAGCCAGCAGTATAATTAACGACGCTGCCATGCATATATGCATGCATGTCCTTTTCTTATGGGTTGGAAATTGGAAATGTTAGTTGTACTGTCCGCTAAGACTTTGCATCTTTACATTAATTAACCTAGATCGTGTTGTTTTGTTTTGATTGTTTCCCAACCCATGCATGTACGTGCAGTGCAGATACATGACAATCTTAGCTTATTCATCCAGTTACATCAAAGCCCCTTCAGACACGCATTACATTTTGCCACTTGCAGGAAGCTTCTCTTTACTAACTTGTCTCACTTAATACAACTCGTCATACTCTAAAAAATTATATTAAGAGAATTGCACCTTAATCCAAAATTTCTCATCTATTATATTTGATTTAGAGTTTTGACCAGAAATGAGGTAAATTACAATGTATATATATGTCTATAGTCTATACCTTATGACGGTTAATAAAGTAAAATTATTAACTGTGTTTCTAGATTAATTAGCCAATTCAGTTATGTCTGAAAGAGAAATCAAAAGATCATATCTTAATATATGGGTGTAATTCCGCAATTATTATTTAAAGGTATGCTCATAGTAAATATCACTTTGTAACTCTAGTTGATTGTCCACAAGTAAATAAACTTAAAACTTTTGCCCTTTTAACTTATCAATCAATTTTAGCTTATTTGACCACTATTAGTTGCTTGACTTTGTTAAATAACCAATATAAATGTTTGATTAATTAATTTTTTGTAACAACTCATTACTATAAAATAATAAAATTCAAAAAGCTGCTCAAAGTAACTTTTTCGATCAAATTTTATAAAAAAAAAAAAAAAAAACATTTTGTATGTAATCAAGTACTCCGCTAATTTACTAAATATTTTTCTACAAACATCTAATATTATCAATTACTCAAATTCATTAACACAATCATTTAACACTTGTCTACCAAACGCAACTTTGTGTTACTCGGTCACATAAACTCGGTTGAGAATTGAGATTAGCTTTATTGTCTACTTGTCACGTGATAGCTAGGTCCAGCTGGATTCCTTTGCCCTATCCCACTACTTGCGGAGGATAATGTTTTCCGGCGCGACGCAGTTGATACTAATCACACTCCTCTCTTTTTATATGACATAGGATACTCTCCTCGTACATTCGAATAATATTGTTTATACATTTCCATTTTTTTACTTTGATGTAAAGTTAACTCGACTTAATCTATAACATCGAATATCACGTATTCAGTGCTTTGTACAATAGTTTACACTAATCACATAAAATATTAAATTAATTCGTATAGAAGTACTAAAAAAAAAAAATTAAATTCATATTTCTATGCGTTCTCATCTTCTGACAAAGCTCACCAATCTCAAAACATGACAACTGGACTCCATTGCTGACTCACCACACCCAGCTTTCCAGTGGTCCCATCTACTCACTCCCCTATCCCCACACACTACAGCCTGTCACCCTTTCCCACTGTCCCGCTCCTGTTTTGATGGCAATTTATATTTCGTCCGTTACTTTCTTAAATATCACAGGGTTATTGAGTTATTTGAAATATTAAAAGTTTGATTTTATTAGTTACGAGTATAGGATATGAACACGAGATTTTTCATGAATTTTTTCTGTCCATATTTAATGTTGTCAGCTGTAACACTTGGAAATTCCAATGTATCATCGGTTGATGGACCACCCGGCTGTAAGCAAGCTGTAATGATATTGATTTTTTGCTTATTTTTCAGTATAAGTTAGCTCACTAACTCTAATCACTAGATTCAACTTTTATGCTGTTTTTTTTTTTTTTGAAAGAAACTTTTATGCTTATGTACAACGCGTTTCAATTTTGCCAGCCATCTCTCTTGATTGACTTCCATAGCGACTTTATTGTCTCTTTCTGGGCAGCTTCCATCACCACCTCCGTGACCACGCAAATACATTGCTTTATTTTTTAGTAATAAAATATATCAATTCTATCCTTAATCTCCGCAAGCAAATCCACTCTATAAATACCGCATCCAACTCTCATTCTCTTCCAACCCAGACAACAAGACAAGTTCTCCATTTTAATACAAACCTAGCGTTTCTCAATTTTAGTAGTGAAAAATCCCAGAATGGCTACAAACTCTTTTGCCCATTTTGTTGTTGCATTCTTAGTGGTGATTTCATTCTTTAATGTTTGTTTTGCTTCCAGAAAGCTGAATGCTTTATACCAAGAACAGCCTAACCAGCTTCTGCAATACCACAAAGGCCCACTGCTCTCCGGCAAGATCTCTGTCAACTTGATTTGGTATGGCAAATTTAAGCCTTCCCAAAGAGCTATCATCTCCGACTTCTTCACTTCTCTCTCCGGCTCTCAAAAAAGCCAGCCTTCCGTCGCCACCTGGTGGAAATCCACCGAGAAGTACTACTCCCTCGCTAATTCCAAGAAACCTCTTTCCCTCTACTTGAACAAGCAAGTCCTTGACGAGAGCTACTCGTTAGGGAAATCGTTGACTCAGGAACAACTCGTTAGCCTTGCCTCTAAGGGGGAGGTCAAGGACGCCGTCAATGTAGTGCTGACCGCCGCTGATGTCGCCGTCGCCGGATTCTGTGTGAACCGGTGCGGAACGCACGGTTCTTACAGTTCCAAAACTGCCCACGTCAAGGGGAAGAACAACAAGTTCGCCTACATCTGGGTCGGAAACTCCGAAACTCAGTGCCCAGGATACTGCGCCTGGCCCTTCCACCAGCCCGTTTACGGCCCGCAGAGCCCGCCGCTGGTTGCGCCTAACAACGACGTCGGTTTGGACGGAATGGTGATTAACTTGGCCAGCCTGCTCGCCGGAACCGCAACAAACCCATTTGGAAACGGATACTACCAGGGAGAGGCCGCCGCGCCGCTTGAGGCCGCTTCCGCTTGTCCAGGAGTTTATGGAAAAGGAGCTTATCCGGGTTACGCCGGTGACCTGTTGACCGACCCGACAACGGGTGCAAGCTACAATGCACATGGTACAAATGGGAGGAAATACTTGCTTCCTGCTTTGTATGATCCTTCCACTTCATCGTGTTCCACTTTGGTTTGAGAGGAGTCAAAAAAAAAGCATTTAGAGCAGAATCTGCAGAGGATTAAGTTATAATACATGTAGAATAGTTTATGTAATTTATTCATTTGTTTATTTGTTTCAAATTATATAATAGAAAAACAATCTTAATTTATTCTGTATGTCTTAATTAATATTCGAGATCTTTGAAGATCTAATTTAAAGAGTGTTACAAAAAATATATAATAATATGCATACCCACTTGTCAACTATGATCAAAATATTTCCTATTAACACGCTAGGCTTGGTTTAACGGATAGGCAATCATCATTGAGGAGCCAAACTTTTATTTGGCTCTTCTTGGTAGCAATATAAATTGTTATTTTTATTTTTGGAAAAATAGTTGGGGTAGTTTGGATAAATAATTCCTTCCTTAAAACATCAATTGCAAATGCTGCATTTGTTATTTCAGAAAATTATATGTGATAAATAATTACACTCCAAGTGTGATTTTAAGAGCTCCACCGCTTCCTATTTTAATATTTAGTAGAAGAGATGACAATTTGATGAGAACTGATTGTATTATATTTTCTGAACTTAATTACAATGAGATCAGATGATGTGAATATATAGAATAGAGAGTCACAGTGTGACAATGATAAGAAGTAGAGAGTCACAGTGTGACAAGGATAAGAAGTTCTAAACAGACTCATATACATAGAGTCCTAATACTCCCCCTCAAGCACAGTGTATACTAGTAACCTGTAGCTTGTCCCTTAAGGAAGAAAATCTAGGTCCAGGCAGAGCTTTGGTGAAGATATCAGCAAGTTGATCCTTTGTGGAGATGAAGTTGACTTGGATATCGCCCGAAGCTACTCGATCACGAACAAAATGATAATCAATCTCCACATGCTTGGTGCGCGCATGAAAGATTGGATTGGCACTCATATATGTAGCTCCTAGATTATCACACCATAATTTTGGAATGGAAATACCCGGAATCTGTATCTCACGCAATAATGACATAATCCATAGAACCTCAGCACAAACATCTGCAAGAGCTTTGTATTCAGCCTCAGTGGATGACCTGGCAACAGTTCTCTGTTTCTTGCAAACCCATGATATAAGATTACTCCCCAAGA